ATGTTTAAGTCACACGTGATGTTTTCCCAAATACTTTTGGTCCATGGTTGGTTGAACTCACAGATGTGGAAGCCACTGGTATAAAAGGCCAGCTGAATTTATAGATGTATAATAATGTTCCCCGGCCTGCTTCAGCTCTTTGCGCAAATGTCACCTTTTGCAGCCCGCCCCTCCACCCCATCCCTCCTTCGCTGCACTAATTTCCCTGCAATTCTCATCATCACCAAATGTAACCCAGACCTTACCTCTGGAGTATTTTACTTCCGTACCCTGGCTTGAATGTGATGCCCAGGAGGACAGGGCTTTCTGTTTACTTCTTTACTATCATATCTCCAGGACTGTCCCAGAAGGGCTGGCGCACAGAGGTGTTCAGAAGGCACTGTGAGTCCCGGAACTGGGTGAGCCCACCTCTCAGACTATCAGGGGCTCTTTATACCCCCACTGACTGTACATGTGGGCGACAGGGGTTGTATCAAGCTCACCTCCGTACAGTCCGCAAGGGAACAGGAGTGTGTTCTGGGGGTGTGGGTGAGTGACAGGGCTCACGGGTCTCCTTCAAACCATCTCCGCATCAGGGCTGCCCCAAGTCTGACTGCGTCATCCTGTTGCCGAGACGCGGCAGCCTCTGAACGTGTGTCCACGCCGGTCCATGCAGCGCTGCACCTTTGCACACTGGCATCCTCGCCACCACATGGGCCTGCACCCTTTTCCATCCCCGAGTCCCTCCCCAGCCCTCTGGATCAGGGAGCTCTGAGCATCTTCCAAGCTCAGCTCCAGAAGCCTCCTGAGAACGATGCCCTCCCTCTGCTAAGGAAAGTTCCGGTCCTCCCAGACAGCAGTATACACCTCCTGCAGCCGCCAGAGGCCTTTTGCACAGCAGACCTGGGTGCCCCGCTGCATGATTGTGCGTTAAACCCCAGGTCACATGGGGTGGTGGTTGGAGACCCGGCCTGCGGGGTGGTGAGGAGGCCTGGTGAGCTCGGTGCTCCCTGAAAAGGCACAGAGCTTGCTTCCTCTCCCCGCTCGCTCTCTGCCACTGGAGGACGCAGCCAGCAGGGGCCCGGTGCACACAAGGAGGAGGCCCCGGCAGACCCGTACTGTGCTACACTGTGATCTCGCACTGGCCGGGCTCACAGCTATGAGAAACACGCTGAGGCTCAAGCCACGACTCGTGCTTCGCTACCACAGCCTGGATTAAGACACAAAAGGGAAAGGCTTCTAGGCCAACACATGCACAGCACCTCTCTCTCTCCAGCTCAAAATAGGACACAGAGCCCTTCCGTCACTTCATTCTTCCTCAGGAAACAACAAACAACACATATCTGACCATTTGCCTTGTGATGCAGCCCAATGGGGCTGGTGGACCAGAAGGATCTGCTGGAGGAGGGTGCTGGCAGTGTGGGACTGGAGCAGGTGGGGCGCATGTGGCTCTGGAAGGTCTCTGAGACCTCGGTGTAAGGGGAGACAGCGCTACACCACGCACCAAGGGCGCTGTGATACCGTAACTGCACGCTGTGCTCCCGAATCTCACCAAAGACATTGCTGCAGTGCTGTCCGCCAGACCAGGAGAACAAGAGCAGACGGTTCCAACCCAAAGGCTAAACTGGAAAAGAAAAATCTTCATGTCAAAACATCGACATTAAAACCGTCCCTGCAGGGAGAGACGCTGGGGAGAGCTCGGAGCAGTGTCAAGCCGTGAGTGCTGAGGCTGCCCCTTCTCTCCTCCTTCCCCAAAGTGGCGGGCATGCACGCCAACGCCAACGAGAGCTCCACGGACACTCGGCTCCCCTTTCTTAGCTCCCTGACCTTAGGCCCCTCACTAAGCTTTCCGTGCCTCAGTTTGCTCGCCATGAGCAGGGATAATCATTCTACCCCATCCCCGGAGCTGTGGGGAGAATTCAGTGAGTGAACTCACACAAACACTGCTTGGCGTAGTGAGTGAGAAATAAACTCACTCCAGCAAGGCGTGGCTCCCGTGGGCAGGCAGAATGACGTGCAAACAGGCGCCCCCCCGCCGTGATGCGCTTCCGGAAACGCAGTAAGCGGTACCGGCCGCGCATCCTCCACCGGCCACCCCTGCACCCGCCCGGCTCCTGTGCTGAGGCTCCCCTCCGGCCCCAGCTGCGGACTCTGGGGCTCCGCACACATCCCGGCCCTGTGACCATGGTGGGCCCGGGCTTGTGGCTAGGACTGAGCACAGAAGGTCCTGTGCCCACCCGCCCCGAAGCGGATGTGTACGCGGTCAGCCTGTGTCGCCCTCCCAGCCTCGGGCTCTGCTCTCCCTCTGCCTGGCTGCTCCTTCCCACCCTGCTCCGGGTCATGGCAGCATCACCTCATCTGTGACGGTTGCTTAGCTCCCCGGGGGCGGAGGGGGCGTGGCTTGGCCCCGGGTGCTGGTGGGGATTCTTACACGCACGAGGTTTGAGAGCAGCTGTCAGACAGCAGCCTTGGAGCTCCCACGTGTGCCTCTGCCTCACCCGGGCTCCGCCAACCCTGTCCAGATGAGCTCCAGAGCGTCCTGGTCACGTCCTGGTGACCGTCAGGGTCCACCTCACCCCATCAGCGGGCCGACTACTTGCAACAGGATTCTGCTGGGACTCTTGGCACCTTCGGCCTCACTTCCATGCTCAGCTCCTCTCTCCCCGCAGCCCACAGCTCGCCCCCTGGAGGTGCCTACGCCTCCTCTTATGAGGTGACCACTTCTCACCAGGCGTGACCTTGGTCCAAGGGACCACAATCTCTTGCCCATGGACGACCGCAGTGGTCACCCCCTAGCCTCCCCTTCCACCGTTGCCTCTGTGTCCCCTTACCCCATGCATCCAGGATCATTCTTTAAAAACATGCTGAATATTTCCAGTCACATAGTCTCCTATCCAGAAGATGTAAAGAATATTTAAAAAATCAACAGTAAGAAAAACAAAAGCAATTAACATAAAAGCTATAGACCTGAATGGATACTGACAGATAATAACCTTTAAGTAATAACCGGATGCTCCTCATTTCTGGGTCGATATTCCTGCTACCAAAAACCTGACCCCCTCCTCCCCATACAGCCCCACCATAACCAACCGCAGGGCTCTGGCTGCTGCTCCTTGGAAACACGCATCTGAGTTGGAAAGACACAGACCAGAGCCCACGTGTCCAGTACGGCACAGGTGGGATGCCAACCACACGCAGAGGGAGACCCCACCAGTCACTGCTCGCCCGCCTCCTCGGGGAAACGACCAGGCCTCATGACCGCCACTTCCTGCCCTCCACGGCTCTGACACCTGCCTCAGTGCCGCCTGCTACAGTGTCCCGGGAGCCTCTAGCCTCTTCTGCACTGCAAAGAGGCCTGGAGGTGAGGGGAGCTAAACTCAGGTCCCCTCAAAGTTCTCAGAGGAAGGGTTTTAAACAAACACCTTGATAACCGTACACTTTCTGATGGCCAACATAAGGGGGCTTGGTCTCCATTTCTTGCCATCTCAACTTGCCGAATGACGTGAAAAGAATCCCCCATTTCTCAGCTCTCCACGGAGGAGCCGGGTCCAAAGCTCTGCAGGGTCCCTTCTAACCCAGGGTGCACTGACCTGCAGCCATCCGGACCGAAAACTGGGATCCACACTGACCCAGCCAAGCTAGCTGGCGATCTCTGGTCCAAGAGGAGCATGCATGGAGGCCAAGGCAGATGTGGGCTCCAGCACTAGTGCCACACGGTCCTGCCTGTGCCGCCCAGAATGTCCCTGCATGGCGTACACCCCAGCCCTGGCACTGAACTCCGGCAAGTCACAGCCTCACCAGCCTTGGTTCTTGCCTCTGCGGGGTGGAGCTGATTCTACCCTGCCCAGGGATGCCGGGAAAGTGCAATGATCAACACACGTGTCCAGCATGAGCACCCCGGGCACACAGGCTCCACGTCCCCTTATCGAAACGTCCGTCAACTGTCAAATCCACATTCCCAAGGCTCATCACAAGCCAAAGCACAGACAGCCAGAGCTGCAGAGGCCTGAAGACCGGGCACTCCAACTTCCTCCTCCCTCTGTGACTCCAATGAAGAAACTGAGGCTTGGAAGGGCTGGAGCGTTGCTTGGGACCTGCACATTCTTCACTGGCAAAGCCTGGCCTGGACCACAGGGTGGCAGAGGCCAAGGGTCACACAAGGCACCAAGAGAACTCTCCCCCAAGAAATTGGGGGCCCCCACATAAAACAAAACTCTGAAAATAAAAATAGCAGACCTGTTTATTTTCGTAAATTTCAGACGGCTGCAGGAGAGAGACGGCCCCACAGCCTGTCTGTGAATGCAAAGGTCCTCTGAGTCTCCTCTGAAGCATGGGTCAGGGCGTCAAGCCACTCACAGCTCTGCTGTGCCCTGCGTCTGCTCCACTTCTTTCCCATCTACCCTCAGGGCAGATACCTCACACGGGGCCTTTTCTGGACGAGGGGGAGTTTCAGGAGGAGCAATCACCCACACCTCATTAGACTCCAACAGGAAAACCACCACTCCATTCTCCTGCCCTCAGACGCAGAATCCCTTGCCCCGCCCGAGAGCACCAGACCGCACCACAGGGCACACTGATAGCTCGGAGGCCAGGTCCCCCTTAACATGCAGGGATTTCGGGAGACTCCTCAGCCCGGAGCACCTGAGGTCCAGGGTGGGGGTCAGCCCAGCCATGAAAGGAGGGGCCAGAGACCCCATGCAGCCACACTGGCTGGCTCCCGGGGTGCAGAGCATTTACCCTCGGACCCTGACAGCTGGCTGCACCAGGAGCGTTCTGCATGCGGCTCCTCCCGAGTGCATTCCCCAGCCAGTGGTGTCCCCGAGCTGGAGGGTCCCAAGCCAAGCCTCCTCGTGCCTCATGATGTGTCCTTAGCGTTAGACTGGAGAGGGAGACTGGCCTGCCCAAGCTGGCACTGCAGGCCAGTGGCACCCACTGCCCCAGACATCCAGATGACCCTCAGCCCTGGGCTGTTTCCCAGCCCGCCCCAGCCCCTCCTCCCTCCTCCTAAACCTTGGGCTCACCTCCGGGTTCTGAAGGTTCCACCAGGTGGGACAATGCTCAGAAGCAGGTGGCAGCTTAGTGACTCATCAGGGGGGCCTGGCCATCCCAGGGGGCAGGAACTTTGAAAGGGCTCTCTTTTCTCTGAAGACAATGGCCACGATGATGACTCCTCCACCTCCTTCTCCTCCTCCTACCCCCCCGCCCCCCCGCCCTGCTCAGCCCTGCTCCTCTGTAGTACTACAGGGACATGTGCTTTGAGTGCTGCTTGGAGGAGTGTGGCAGTTTACTGGAAGGAGAAATGAACAGTCTGTTGCACCCCGCTACATGCTCACACCTAGCAGAAGAGAGGAGAGAGAGAGGACCTAGCAGAAGAGGGGAGAGAGAGAGGCGCCAGGGAATGATTAACCCTTGTGCTCCAGCTCAGCTGCAAGGGAAACAATACACTTAACCAATGGAGTGCCAGCCCGAGACATTACATCATCTGCCAGCACTGTCATTGGCTGAGAATTCCTAGAAGGAGACATCCTGCTTGTGGGTGCTTAACCCTTTCAGCATCACAGCAAAGGGGATCTGCCCCAACCAGTGGGCCCTGCACTTGCTTAGCAGAATGGCCCAGGGTGCAGGCTGTTCCACTCCACCTCGACCCCCGGGACGCCAGGCAGTGCGCTCAGAAGCTTCCTCCCCCATGAGCATGAGTGTACACACCACGCCAGCACTTCACCTCTTGCACTGATTTCCTACTCTGAGCAGGGGCGGCACCGACCCCATTTCACAAGTATGAAGGGGGCTCAGCTTTCATAACGTTTCCGGGGTTCCAGAAAACGCAGGTGCTATTGATGAGCTGGAAAACGCCAGTGAGCTGTGAGGAGCTGGGGACGAGAAGGCGTGTTCTCAGAGATCCCCAGCCTGCCAGGGGCTCATTCTCCTGCCTCGACTGCGCATCTCAGCCTACCCATCACTTCCCTGGGAAGTGTCCTCCCAGCCCACACCTGGGATGCCCGGGACAGCCATCCCGGCTCTGGCCTCTGCAGGTGCTTGCTCCCTGGGCAAACGCCATGGGATCAGAGCCACATGTGCCTTCTCACCCACAGACACACAGCTCAGCACCGCCATGTGCGAGTCCTTGATGGACGCTGAAGCAAGAGAGGGGAGACAGTGGGAGAGAGGTGCCTGCTGAGGTTCCAAGTGGGACAGGTGAAGACCGGAGGCAGGAGCCCCACACAGTGAACTGTCCAACTTTGCAGGCTTGCTTTGGGGAACCTTTGTCCTCCTCATCTGAAAATGAGGACAACAGCACTCGCTTCCTGGGTAGCTAGTTATGAGGGGGATATTAAAGGACGCCGCGTCCTGCTGCCTCCCGCACTCTGTCCAGGGTTCATCTGTTCTCCTGACCAGCACCTGAGGGCTGACAATTGCTACAGCCACACGGCCAGCCCGTGCCGTCTCCGCATGGGTACTTATGGGCACACCGAAGGAGAGTGCAGTTCTCTGCCACCCGTGCAACCCTCTCCTCGACACTCTCCTCCGGTACGGGAGCGGTGCTCCCAGCCCGCCAGTCTCTTGTTTTTTCAAAACAAGGTGCTATCTACACATCTCAGACTACAGTCCAGGGGCATTTAGCAGCTTTACACCATGCGCACCCACCCCTCTGTCTAAAACATCTTCATCACCCCGAGAGGGAACCCCACCCCATCGGCCTTCTCCCCCAGCCCCTGCCAGGCATCAGCCTGCTTTCTGTCTCTGTGGACAGGGACAAAATATTCTAGATACTTCAGGGGAAGGCAATCCTGCAGTATGTGATCTTTTGTGTCCAGCTTCTCCTACTTATATTTTCATGTAATGTTTTCAAGACTTATGCATGTTGTAGCATGTATTTGTACTTTTTCCCTTTTATGGCTGAGTAATATTCCATTGTAAGTACTGTACAGCCCATTCACCCCATGATGGAGATCTGGTATCTACCCAATCATAAGCCATAAGCCAGGCCATTGTGCTTGATGGCCTCCCTGTATTCCCCCACCTAATGTGCCAGCAAGTTCTGCTCACATGGCATCCAAAATATGGTTCAAATCCTTCTGCTTTTCTCAGCACTGCTGCCACTCTCTAGCCCAGGCACCCGTATCTCTCTCGCTAACGTCCAGTTGGTGACTGGATCTAGTTCCTTCTCCTCTCTAATCCACCTTCTGCCTTGCACCTGGTGCACCCTTTTAAAACATGCATTCATTTCAAATGCCATTCCCTGAGCACCATCCTTGATGGACCTTCCCTCCAAGAGGCAGGACAGAAAGCAAACCGATTCCAGCAGGTCACACAGGTCCCCAGTCCTGCACCGACTTCACCGAGCTCTGCAGAAAAGCCAAGCAGGCACAGCCCGCAGGGTCAATCACACCGAGGCCGCGTTGCAGGCCCCCCAGCCTGGGCGCCGCTCCTCCACCTTGAGGCCCTGCACACACTGTTCCTTGAGCCTCACATGCTCGGCCGGCCTCTGTCGTTCCTCAGGCCTCAGTGTACGCATGGCTCCTGAGTGACCGACCCCGACTGCCACACCAAGCACATTCGCCTTCTCCTCACCCACTTGCGGAGTCGGCGCTCGACGCAGGACTCCACGCGCCTCTTGGGATAAAGCCACCCAGGATCCCTGCAGCATCAGCAGCACGGTCAAAGGCCACTCCGAGGAGGCAGCAGATGAGCGCCTCCACAGGGCCAAGAGCCTGTCCGTGCCCACCGACCGAATCCTGGCTGCGCAGTGCTGCTCTCCAGCCTTCACCCGCCTCGCAGGAATCAGCATTTCGCATCCGCTTCTGTCTCCCTGGGAGAGGAGCTGTGTTGCAGCAGCACCTAGGACAGCCCCTGCCATCCTGGGTGCGCTCAACATGCATTGACTGAGTAGTAAGTGGATAAATGAACGAATGGCTAATTGACCAGTGCATCAATGAAAGCACTCTGTGAAGTGTAACAAATCACACACTTGTGGCCAACTGTTATTGCTATTGTTTTGTGGTAAAATGACACAGAATCCATCAGATTTTTGGAGGTCGGGTTGGCGGCAATGGGGGAGAAAGCAAACCCATAAGAGGGGTCAGGAGCAGCACCGGAGTCACTGTGGCTCTGGTGAGGGAGCCTCCTCATAAAAGCTGATGGACTCAAATCCAACTCCAAAAGTCATTTTCAGACACAATGGAGACATTGGAAGGTGAAAGAAATGAACACTTTCTCAGTGTCCGCTGTGCAGCAGGTGCTGTTTGCTCCCAGAGCGACCCTGAGGGAGAGGACTGGATGCCACAGGACAGCTCTCAGGCCACCACCAAGGCAAGACAGCAGCCTCTTCTGCGCGGCTTCGGAGCACAGAGAGAGGCACACAGCTCGCCATGGAGCTGTCCAGGAGCTGTCCTGCCAAGGGTGCCCAAGTTCTGTGGCCTCGGGGTGGGGGGATGGGGGGGTGGACTGAGCCCTTCTGACCCTCCGTCCCCAACCAAACTCTCCCTCTGCTCTCCTGCATGAGGTGGAAAACCGCCTCTCAAGAACCCTCCTGCGATCCCCGGTACCAAAAAAAAAAAAAAAGAACCCTCCTGCACACAAATTGCAGACACCCCGAGCCCTCTTCAGGAGGACCTGGCCTCTGATGGTAAATCTCGGTTTCCTTTTATCAGCAAACGGGTTCAGAAGGCTGGCAGCATCTGTCTGCCAAGCACAGAGCTGAAGTTGCGTTCTGGCCTGGCTTCCCAGAGAGCCCTTGTCCTCTACCACAGCGCTACACATGGTCTGCTGCCCACGGCAAGACTGCACCCCATGGGTCCCAGGGCCAGGAGACACAGCAAGAGAGCAGAGGAGCCCAGGCCAAGCCCCTGCGACAAAATCGAGGCCACAGACTCGAAAACAACCTGAGCCTGGTGTCTGTCACATGGGCCACCGTGCACCGTCCGAATGCAGCAGATGGGGCGCAGGGGCCTCTACCTTCGGGTCCCCTACCTTCGGGTCCCCAAGGACCGGCTTCTCAAATGCGGGCCCTGACGCCGACCAGGGCTCTTCACACCGCTCGTTCCCCAAGACAAACTTGCAGGCACCCCAAGACTACACGCTAAGGCCCCCGTCAGCCAAGCACGTCCTCCGGACCACCCGATGCAAGGCTGTCTGGGTTCCAAGGGAGGATACTGGACTTTGGCAGTTCTTTGGCCTTGCGAACGGAAACCTTCGGAATACCCGCCGCCCATCAGCCCGCACCGCCCGCACCCAGTCTGCAGCCAGGACCCGCCCGCTCCCCGGTCCCACGGGGTTGCCTCCCCTCGAGCCCTCGGCCCCGCGTGGGCTCCGCACCGAATCCCCGGCCGCAGAGCTCGGCAGGTGCCTGGTGCGCAGGGACACACCCGGGTTGGCAGCCCCGCTCCGACCTAGCCCAGGACGGCAAGTCCAGGCTCGGCGGCCCGAGCTGCAGAGCTCCCAGGGCGGCGCAGCCTCGCCCCCGGCGGCGGGGCAGGGTCCGGATCCCGGCCGGGCAGCAGCTCGCCGGCTCCCGGGGGCGCCAGGACCCCGAAGCTCGAGCCCCGCAGAGTCTGCTCGGCTGCGGCACGGCTTACCGTGCGGCCCAGGTCCCGCGCTGCAGCTGCCCCGCGCGGCGTCCGCCTGCGGCCCAGGGACGAGATCCGTCCGGGCAGGCTCTGCCTCGCTCCGCGGCGGCCCCGCCCCTCCCCAGATGCGCGGCACCCATTGGCTCTGGCAGTGAGGCCACGCCCTCGGAAGCTCCGCCCCACTCTCCCCGACCCAGCCTTTCCCTCTGCTCGTCCCAGCCCTGCCGCGTCCCGCACCGGCTCCCGGTGCCGAGGCTCTCATTCGTTCTGCAGCGAGGCCCCGCCCCAGATTCCCCCCCCCCCGCCCCTCGGGCTCACCTCTGCTGCGAGGACGTCGCCGCAGGCTCCCTGGCGAGGTGGCCGAGTGACGCAACATTTGTCTGTTCCCAGAGCAGCCGGCCCTGAGGGAGTGAGCAGAGTGCGGCCCAGACGCCCGCTCCGAGAAGTCCCAGACTTGGGCCGGGTGCTCCCAGGGGCAGGAGGCGCCTCGGGGTGCAGCAGGAGCAGGCCGCGTGGGGTGTCCGTGGGAAGGGCAGGGCGCGCGGCTGGCCAGGGTAGGAGGTCTCCCTCGAACCGGACCGGAAGGGGCTGCAGTCACCGCTGTGCAGCGTCCACCAGGCCACCGTGA